CCCCTGGCGCCGCACAATGGCAGCCCGCTGCTCCCCTGGAGCCGCACAGTGGCAGCCCGCTGCTCCCCTGGTCCCGCACAATGGCAGCCCGCTGCTCCCCTGGAGCCGCACAGTGGCAGCCCGCTGCTCCCCTGGTCCCGCACAATGGCAGCCCGCTGCTCCCCTGGAGCCGCACAGTGGCAGCCTGCTGCTCCCCTGGTCCCGCACAATGGCAGCCCGCTGCTCTCCTGGCGCCGCACAATGGCACTGCATATTTGCACTGTATATATATTAATGCTCTGAACTTCTATATCAATGTTTTTTTTTTTTGCTGCACTTTAAGGAATGGAAAGGTCATCAGAGCTGCACAAAATAAAATTTGCTGTGAAAGTGGGACCATCACAGTACGGATGGAGTGGGGGCTGCAGGTAAGCTTTGTTCACAGAATCAAATCTGTTGAAAAACAGATTGAAGTTGATTCATGTCGGCTACGTTCAAACTGCCTTCCTCTCCTCTACTGATGGATGGTCTGAAGCCACACCTCTCTCATCTTGTTTTGCGGGAGTTTCCACCTCTGTTTGTCCTTGGCTTCACTAATCTTCATCTTCAGCTACTTCTGGATGGTTCGCCCTGCCAGGTCTGAAAGTCCTCTCCTCCTGTTAAGGACGATCTTTATGTCCTTTATACCCAAATAAAAAGCTGTGGGTGACAAAGGACAGCCTTTGGTGGGATGGTGGTGCTGACGCAGAAGTTGATGTAATCAGAGACACAATCTGTCAGCCCATCAATGTCCTCATTAGAACCTTTGCTGAAAGGTGTGAGCTAAGATGTCTTTTACAGATTCAAACATCTCAGATGTTCTGTCACATGCCTCCCTTCCCAAAATCAGTGCTGTGACCGTATTTCCTGTGCTGCTTCCTGATCAGAGGAAGTGGTGAGGAGGACATATGGTTGTGGTCAGAGCGCTCCTCTAACCAGCAGGGAACATCTACCCAGTATGTTTTAACCCAGAACAAGGAGGAAAGGTGATGGACAGAACCCCTGAATTATTGAGGACATGGGGGCAGCAGCGGCTCAGCAGCCTCTTCTGGAGCCTGGAGATGAGCAGCCAAGCAGAAAGTGTGTCATTTATTCTTCAGGCGCATCCATGAGTCATGAAGACAAGCAGAACACTGCTGGAGCCGAAGGGGCAAAAGAAACAGTTGCTAAGGAGACCCTGGTTCTGTCCTGATTGCATCGACTCATTGACTCTTCAGCAATCCCTCACACCAAGCATGCTTGTAGCGACAGTGGAGAGGAAAAACTCCCTCAGTGTGAGCGGCCATCTGCTGAGGCCGACTGGGGAGACAGAAGCAGACTGACTGGTTCTGTCCTGACTTGTTCCGTTCTGACTGGTTCTGTCCTAAGTGGTTCTGTTCTCACTGGTTCCATCCAGGGTGGTTCTGTTGTGACTAGTTCTGTCCTGACTGGTTCCTTTCTTACTGGTTTTACCTTGACTGGTTCCATCCTCACTGATTCTGTGCTGACTGGTTCTGTCTTCTGTCCTAAATGGTTCCGTCCTGAATGGTTCTGTGATGACTGGTTCTGTGATGACTGGTTCCATTGGGAGCGGTTCTACCCTAACTAATTCCATTCCAACTGGATACGATCCAACTGGTTCCATTCTGACTGGATCTACACTGACTGGTTCTGTCCAGACTTGTTTGTTTCTTACTGGTTCGATCCTGACTGGTTCTGTTCTGACTGGTTCAATTCTCGCTAGTTTTGTCCTGACTGGTTCAGTTCTTCTTGGTTCTGGCCTGACTGGTTCTGTACTGACTGGTTCCGTCCTGAATGGTTCTGTTCTGACTGGTTCTGTGATGACTGGTTCCATCGAGAGCGGTTCTACTCTAACTAATTCCATTCCAACTGGATGCGATCCAACTGGTTCCATTCTGACTGGATCTACACTGACTGGTTCTGTCCAGACTTGTTTGTTTCTTACTGGTTCTGTCCTGAGTTGTTCCGTTGTGACTGGTTCCATTCTGACTGCTTCTGTTCTGACTGGTTCCTGCTAAGGAATACTGCTCTCTGACTGCCCTGGGGAAGGAGGGGTGTGTGTGTGCATGGTTTCCATGGTGATGAGAAACAGGGCAGTAACCATGTGACCCTCTGAGTACCTTAGTGCTTCGACCGCCCATCTCACTCTCTCTATCTGTGACATCACAGAGATGTGACACTGGTTTAAGGCGCCAGTAGAAGAGGATCAGAGAGCTGTGAGGTGTTGAGGTTCTGATCCGTTCCACGGTTCTGGTCTCTTCTCTGGGTCAGACATTCAGCAGTGTTAATTTTTCACTTCCTTTAAATCTTGATTTCTTTGAACAAAAGGTTCAGTTTCAGAACCGCTCTGATTGAAGGCAGGGTTCCACTGTAGTTCCAGATCCAAACATTCAGGATGTTCTGCTGATTTTTGGCTCCCTTTTCAGAGAAGAACTTTGTGGACGTTGAAGGTGTTTTCGTCCTCTGCTGGTTCTTTTCCTTTGGTTCTGGTCAGGTTTTGGTGTCCGCCGTATTCCGATGTTCTGGAAGAACGCTGCCTGGTTTTGGGATGATGCCGCAGGGGATGAGGATGATGATGGTGGGTTTCTGCTTGCAGCTGACCTCAGAAGGACTCCGGACTCTGCTCCAGACACTGACCTAACCTGGACCGGCACCATGGCCAGCACCACGCGGTCCATCAGTAATGCGGCCACCTCATGTGGACCCAAAGAAACTACCCGCCACAGCACGGTGTCTGTTCGGATTGGCAGCCAAGAACCGGACCAGGGCAACTACAGTGGCTGTGTCTCCTCTGGGTTCTGTGGACCACAGCACGCAGCCGTGAGTACATACCCACCAACCATCAGAACCTTTGAAAAACTGGGGTCAGTGATTAGGTTAACAAGGTCCAAAATGGACTTTAGTTCTGGGTGGGTTCTGGTGTTAGACAGGATGAAGGCTCATCATTATGTGGGTTGAAGAGCAGGGAACCAATCAGATCACTTCAGAACCAGTGATGAATCAAATGAAGCTGCGGCTCATAAACCATCAAACAGTTCGGCTGGAACTGATCCGATCCAAAGGAACCAGCTAGGGCTGCAACTAACGATTATTTTAAAAATCGATGAATCGGGCGATTATTTTTTCGATTAATCGATGAATCGGACAAAAAATATTTTTATTTTATTATATATATATAGATATATATATATATATCTATATATATATATATATATATATATATATATTATATTTTTTTCCAAAATAAACATTTTAGACAGAACAAACAAGCACACAAGTACAGGTTGCTCATTAACTGTACTGGTGCAATATGAAAAATAAATGTTTGTGTTAAAACTATGCAAACTTACATGAGAAATGTAAAGCGCAAAAAAAGGCATTTTTGTTTTCTAAAGCCCCTAAGGGGTTCAAACAATAGGCCCCCCCATTTCAACAAATGAGTTTGTTTTTTTTACTAGAAGAGTTCTGCCTTTTAAGACAGGAAAGTATAGCAGTTAAAGTTGCTACTTGAGAAAATACTGAACCATAGAGATAAAAATAGCCCTGTGATTCAAATTATAAATTGTATTTGGAATAAAAATGAGAGAACTAGGGGTGCTAAAAAACACATCCTCCAAAGACAGATATTTACATGGGAATGTGGCAGATAATTAATTGACATATTACTGATCTTGCTGGATTTTATTCTGCTTTACTTCCATAAATTGCAGGATCTTCTTTACTTTATCTTTGCCAGAAGATTTAAACTTCAAAAGCCTTGCCCTCATAATTTGCAAGATAATTTATTTATAAAGGCTATTTTAATTATTGTGATCAATTTGCACCGTCAATCCCGGCACATGCGCGCTTCATTTGCAGTCTGGACGCTGAAACAGGCTGCAGCGGGATGCTTCTCCAAGTACATCCTGCGGCTCTGATTGCAGCGATGAGAGAGATTCCTGCGGGAGAACGGGGTTGGGAGGGGGGAGGCGCCCCACGGCAGCAGCTGCCGCTGGAGGACAAGAGTAGGAACGATACATGCTTTCACGTAAGAGTCTCCAAAAGCCGCCAATGACACCGTAAAAAGTCGCCAGATTTGTCGCTAGTCACTTTAAAAAAAAAATAAATAGTCGCTGGAGGGGTCTGAAAAGTCGCTAAATATAGCGACTAAGTCGCTGAGTTGGAAACACTGCACCTGCGGCGCTGCCGTATTATTTTTTTTCTTCCCCCGTTTCAGTCAAGTGGATGTGATGACGGCGGCGGATGACGCATTAATCGAGCGACACAACTAATCGATGATGAAATTCGTTGCCAACGCTTTTAAAAGTCGATTTTTATCGATTTTATCGATTCGTTGTTGCAGCCCTAGAACCAGCTCAGTTTATAGCTCAGAAATCCAAATCCTTTCTTTTTCTCTGAATCATTTCCTGTTGCTCTTTCATCTGTGAAGGTCCAAACTGACTGATATCTGGGTCGTGCTTTAGAACCGGCCCATTTGATTCTAAATAAAAGACGCTGCAGAAACATCTGCAACTGTTTTTTTCTAAAACACAAAGTTCCTGTTAGAGTACAGGAACTCTTTGCCCCAGAGTGATCCAGCTTTGGACTTCAGATCTCTCACTGGTCCATCAGAACTGAGCCTGGGATCTCCATCTGCTCAAGTTTGGATCCGGGAGTCTGAACAGGAGGACGTTGATGCATAGCATCACTCTTATCAGGCCGCTTGAGTTCAGTTCTGATGGATCGGTAGGTTCTGTGTCTAAAAGCAACAGCCTGGTCCAAAGTCTGAATTAAAGCTCAAAACAGCACAGATCAGTAGAACCAGCACAGAACCGTGAAAAAGTTGAACCACAACCCTCGATTCCGACATAATTTCAAGCAATGTTGTCCTGAAGGGACTCGTGTCCAGAGCCAGGACCAGGAACCAGACTGGTCCAAAGCCAGCGGGCTGCAGACATGTTCAGTTTGGGCCACACCCTGAAATTCAAACAGACAGTAAGAAGCTGTGATATGGTCTGGAGGTCTGAACTATCCTAGGAGCAGGTCATTGTCAACCGGACCAGAACCAGTAGAGCCCATTGATGGCTTAGTCTGGACCCGCTTTACATCCTTCTTTTGCACAGTACGGGGACTTAGATCAGACCCGGTTCTTTTTGTAATCCTCGTGGCATCTTGCTGTGTCCCCTGCCCATTCTGGACCCAGTTTGGACCCGGTCCAGGCCCGTCCTGACTTGTTGAGGAAGTGTGTGTCTTATCGGAGAGACACATCCCCTGTTTTCTCTCTAGCCCAGAGTGTGCATGCTTCCTGCTATTATTCTCACTGCTGGTTCCCACACACACACACTTCCAGTCCTCATGTGAGCCTCTATGCTGGTCACACTGGTTCTGCCCAAACACCTGAGCCTGGATTTGTCTGGATCTGAGAACCCGACCTGCTGATTATTTTAACATTTGGGTTCCCTGCTAGAACACACAGACCTACACTGTTGTGCTGCTAGTTCTATTTTATCTGGTCTGGATCTTTTTGGACTTTTGGATCACAGCCGATCCTGGACGTGTGATTCTGCCCTGAGGACGGCGTGGGTCGAGGTTCTGGTTCAGCTGTGCAGAAGGATCCGATGGAGGGCTGGTTTTGCTGACCCACCATGCACACCATCCACCGTCTGTGCAGAGAATGCATCGGACAGAACCTACCGCAGGTCTGAGTCTCAATGATTTAACAGCTGGTTCTGGATGCAGTCGGGTTCTGAATGAGTCTGTCAGACAGCAGGACAGACGGATTCGTCTGATTGGCTGTTAGAGAAGCTTTTAGTAGCAAACTAAAAACAGCTGTGACATCACAACTGAGTGATGAATCTTTAATGGCTGCATGTTCACAGCCGCTGGGGGGTGGATGGTGGTGGGAAGGGAGGGGGGTTCATTCAGTCTCATGAAAGAACAGCTAATGAACCTCTGATCAAACACTGGATGAAGTAGATCTTTGTTCCTTTCCTGCTGAAGCACCAGAACCAGAACCACTCCTTACTCAGACCAGAACCAGAGACGTCCCAAAACTGACTCTTTTAGCGTCCACCCCAGATTAGTAGGTTTAAAGAGAGGGAGGTTCTGGTTCCGCTCAGGTACTGGGTCGTTGCTCTGTCTGTATTGTTGCCCAGACTTTAGAGTTCTGGGTCTCATAGTCCTGTCCTTGTTTGAACAGAGTAATAAACAGGACCAGGGAACAGAACCCTCAACCAGAGTGTCTGTGATGTGTACATACCTTCTCCGTGGTGCTGGTCTCCTCAGGCTCTGCAGGGGTTTTAATATGAGCCTGTCAGTCTAAACTCAGGGACATTTAATTCGCTTTGTTTAGGGTTGAGTCCCAGGATGAGTCGACCTTTTCGTCGCTCTGGCTCTGTTTGCAGAGTCATGGAAACAGCTCAGAAACCAGGACCCAACCGGGCCTCAGAACTGGACCTGACACAAACAAAGCCCAAGAACAATACCAGGGAGAACTAATGCAGAACCTCCTGCCAACTCAAACCAGAAGCAGCACTCTGACAGGAGACGATCAAACAGAAACAATCAGTTCAACATCTGCAGGTTCTGGTTCAGACACAATAGGAAGGGATCAGGGTAACTTTTCGGTTCTAGATCAAATCCCTGGATCTGTCTTTTATTCATAAACTTAGAGTCTAATCTTGATGACTGCTGAGGCCCCCTAGTGGTTGTTTTATGCTAGCACCCCTGGACACGCCCATCTTCTGTTCCTAGTTCTGTGCTGCTCTGGATCCAGGATGGTCGTCTGGAAGATCCTCCGACCTGAATCTGATGAGCTGCAGGTTTTGTTTCCAACCTGTTCTGATCCACTTCTGCTCTAAATGCTCTGAACTGTTTCCTGCAGGTAAGCATCATTCGAGGCAACGACGGGTTTGGATTTACAATCTTCGCGGATTGTCCGGTCCGAGTCCAGGCGGTTGATCCAGGTGAGCTTCCCATGGATGTACTGACACACACGTATGATGTAAGCTCACATCCGGCAGGCGGTGCATACCTCTCATCCCTTCTTTGGTTGTTACCATGGGAAAACACCTCAGACCTAGTTACAAGGTTAGAGAGAAAATGAACTTTGTGAGAACAAAGACATCAATAGATGTTGGAGACCAGGCAGAGAAGGCTTTGTGGTTGAGAGGTTACCAGCTTTAGGTAAACACAAACAAGTTTAAACTGGTTTCAGATTGGTGAAATGTCAGAGTTTATAATGGACCTGAGAACCGAGGATACTGCCTAAACTGGTCTATTTAACATTTCTGCAGAGTGGATTTAAACTGGATACATAACTGGTTTTAATTTGGAGATAACCTTAAATTAACTGGTTCAAATGGTTGCCTCCTACCTAGCCCACTTCCAGGATTTATTAAACTGGTTAAAGCTGGATGAACCCCAGCAGAGCAGGGGTCTGCAGATCTGCTGACCCACTTTGGTTTTGTTGTAGGAGGACCAGCTCATCAGGCAGGACTCTGTCAGGGAGACTCAGTTCTTCAGCTCAATGGACTTCCTGTAGAGACCTGGAAATGTGCGGACCTTGCCCAGGCCATCAGGTAAGCTTGGTCAGATAGCCCCACCCCCTTGTAATTGCTCCCTGTAGAGATGAGGTCTGGTTCTGGTTCCTTTAGCAGTGTTGTCTCAGATGGGTTCTGTTAGGGGTTAAGTGGATGTGTCGCTTCAGGAGCTGTCCCTCCCAGGTTGTCCTGGTGGTCTGGAGAGGTTTACCTGAGTTGAGCTCAGCTCATCAGACTTTGCTCCACCCACAGGTTCGTAATTCGGTGAGTGTGCTCGGCCGCTACCACTGCCATCACTGAGGTGTTTATGCTGGGTCTCTGCTGGTTCTGTTGCATCTCACAGAATCATTTCTCTGTTTCCTAGATAACAACCAACAAGTTACTGCCTCACCCCGCCCACAGCAAACACAGCCGCAGAGCGGCGCAGGGCCGGGAACACCGCTCCGGTCTGGGGGTTCTGGGTTCCCTGTGGAGAGGCAGGAGGGAGGACCAAGATCAGGAGGACAATGGGGGGCAGGAGATATGTTCCACGATAAAAGGCACCAGAATTACATCATCAACTGGAGACAATTACATCATCCTGTCACCTGTAAACCAAGGAGAGCAGGTGAGTCACAGTGGGCAGATTTACAGTCCGATGGACCTCAAATTCCCCTGAACCAGAACCAGACACATTCAACTCAATACCCTGAAGCAGAACTACTGATCCTGAAAGCCCTTTAAATGGAACCATCACTTTAGTAGCGGCTGAGGCTTGTACCAAGAGTGGAATATTTAACACTATTACAGACTTAGAACTGTATCACTTTTTAAAAAGTTATTTGCACCCAGCATCATACTGTGAACTGAATAATCTCCTGAACCTAACCCACACATTAATTAGAGTCTGCCTTGGTTCGATGGTTCTGTCAAAGTTTTGCTACTACCATAAGATGCTCTTGGTTCTGTTTTTCAGCTCCCACATCCGGGTTACAGTGGCACAAATGGGACCATTGGTACGTCTGTTCTGACCTGAACTGATTCAGACTCAGTATTGATGAACACATTGTTTGGACTGATGGAACTGGTTCTGGTTCTGTAGGTCGTCTGTACCAGACTGATCCAAGCAGAACTCAAAGTCTCCTCCATAATCCTCGAACTTGGATGTCTCAGCGAACTACAACAAGCCAAAACTCTACTCTGCCTGTTCTACAACCCAGAACCATGGTGCTGGGTCCACCTGGTAACCATGGAAACTACCAGAACTGTACCATCGTTCAGTCCCATCTTCCACGGTCCAGTTATGGAAAATATGCCTCCCTTCCACCCAAAACTCTCTTCTTCCCCATCTTTGTCCAGGTCAGAACCATTTCCCCGACCTTTCAGAACTACCGTAGAACTGTTTGGACAGAGTTGGCTTAGTTCCTCTGCTCTGAGCAGATGTTCAATAGTTCCTCAATTCAATTCAATTCAGTTTATTTATATAGCGCCAAATTCACAACACGTCATCTCAAGGCACTTTACAGTTCAACCAGATCATACAGTCAAATTGATACAAAACTCAACCTCAAAATGTTTTTGTTCTTGTGCTTTTGTGCTTTTTTCAGCCTCTGGATCTCTGCAGCCCGGACAGAACCCTGTGTATGGCTGAGGAAATGACCCTACATAAGGCCAACCTGCTTCCTTCCAAGGTACCAGGGACCTGTTCTGGTTCTGATCCATTTCAGCTCAAAAAGGAGCTCCTGGATCCTGATGAGCTCCTGGATCCCGAGGAGCTCCTCAGGAGCTTTTAGATCCCGAGGAGCTCAGTGACCATGTGGAGCTTCAGGAACTCTCAGCTGGTTCCTGAGGAGCTCCTGGATCCTGGGGAGCTCCTTTGGATCCTGGGGAGCTCTGTGACCATGTAGAGCTTCAGGAACTCTCAGCTGGTTCCTGAGAACAGCTTTTGTCTCCTTTCCAGGTGACTGTGCTGATCTACAGCGACCTGCTGCTGCTTACCAGAGAGGATGATGCTGGTCGATGCAGTGTCCTTCAGAGCCCGCTATACCTGAAAATGGTCCAGTTTAGAGAAGGTAGCGTGGTGTCAGCAGAGCCAAAAGCCCCCTATGGAGGCTCTGTTCTTCAGACAGTAGCAGCAGGTTCCTCTCCTAGAAGAGAGAATCCAGCTGAACCTGTCCAGGTGGAGCTCTAATCTTCATCAGGCTGTAGGATGTGATTGTTTTCTGTTTTCCTTCTCCAGTTCCATCAGAACCACTCCACATCTACTTCCTGCAAAAATCTGACACCTGCTGGTGCTGCCTTTTCAGTTTAGAAGCATTCAACATCCAGCAGAAGCTCCGGGTCTGCCTCTGTCTCCACAGCAACATACAATCCCACATGGTTACCATGGAGACCCCACTACCATACCAGGTGAGCTCCAGCATGTCCATGATGGATCCAGGTTTCTGAACCAGGATTTCCAGCAATATTCACCAGAACTTCCTGTTGACTTGGATGTTTAGAAATAACCTGGCCTCTGCCCCTCATCCCCACCACCCCACCCCCACCTCCTTCCAGTTCTCAGACCTCCCTTCAGATTTCGACCTGCTGTCTCTCAGTCAGTCCAGCTTCCCTGGTGGCCCATCCTCCCCCTACTCCTCTCTCTCTGACCCCTGCAGACCCCCCTCCCCCTACTCCTCTCTCTCTGACCCCTGCAGACCCCCCTCCCCCTATTTCTCTCTCTCTGCCCCCTGCAGACCCCCCTCCCCATACTCTCACCGTTCCCATCTCCCCTCGTCCTCCATGGCTTCCCCTATAGGCCGTCCCTCCCCTCCCCTGGAAACAGTCCCCTCTCCACCTCAATACCTTTCTTTATCTCCCTCCTCCTTCCCTACTCCGAGGAGTCCAGTCTGGAAACAAAGAGATGACACAGAGGAAGAGAGGGTGAAGAGGAGGGAAGAGGGGGAGGAGCGGCAGCAGGGAGAGGGGGAGAGTTCCTCTGAAACGTCAGAGAGTTTGGGGGGATTTGTGGGCAAGGGCCTCCTGCTAAGCCCCCAGCATATCAATATATATAATGAAGAGGATGATAGTCCAGAGGAGGAAGATGAAGAGGAGTTAATCTGCACACCTACAGGTCAGTCCTTCAGTCAGTCCAGATGTTTTCCTGAATACAACTGTAGAGCTTCTAATGCTCTAAAACTTGGTGCACAAAATTGGTTCTGCTGGTTCTATTTTCTTCATGTTTCATAAACGACCATCAGTCAGTCTTTGAGTACCGAGTCCCACTTCATGTTTGGTACCTTAACCAGTATATATCGACTCCAAACATTTGAAGAAGATAAACAGAACTCTGTAGTTAAAGAAAACACAACAACTTCCAAGACTACAGTTAGAGCTCTCAAGAAAACAACAAGAACTTCTAAGACTACAGCTACGACTTCCAAGACTATGGCTAGGACTTCCTAGACAACAGCAAGAACTTTCAAGACCACATTAACTTCCAAAACTAAAGTTAGAATGTCCACAACTACAACAAGAACTTTCAAGATTACAGTGAGAACTTCCAAGACTTTAATAATTTCCATGACTACACTTAGAATTTCCAGGAGAACAGCTAGAACTCCTAAGAGAACAGCTAAAACTCCTAAGAGAACAGCTAGAACTCCTAAGAGAACAGCTAGAACTCCTAAGAGAACAGCTAGAACTTACAAGACAGCTGCTAGAATGTCAAAGACAACAGCTAGAATGTCAAAGACAACAGCTAGAATTTCCAAGACTACAGCTAGAACTTCAGACTACAGCTAGATCTTCCAAGAAAAATTTTTTCCAGCTTTTTTTTTTTTTTTAACTGTCATTACACTGTCAGAAGTACAGAGCAATGGAATTCACTTTCTGGATTTAACCCATCCTCTTGGGGAACAGTGGGCTGCCATTGTGTGGTGCCTCAGGGGTGGTGAGGGTTTGCTCAGGGATCCAGAGTGGCAGTCTGTGGGAGTTGGGCTTGAACTCAGAACCTCTGGATTCCAAGGGCAATGCCCCAACCACTAGGCCACAACTCTCTGAGACTAGGCCGCCACTCCCTTAACAGCAAGAACCTCCAAGACTATAGCTGGAACTCCCAAGACAACAGCAAGAACAATACCAAGACCAAGACCAAGACTAATACCAGAACTCTCAAGATTACAGTGAGAACTTCCAAGACTATAATAATTTCCAAGACCTTAACAAGAACTTCCATGAGACAACCTAGAACTTCTTAGACTATAGCAAGAACGTCCAACACAACAGTTAGAACTTCTAATACCACAAGAGATTCCAAGACTTAAGCTAGAACGTAAGAGAGTTAAATTGATTGATCTGCTTATTGATTGTTTTCTTATATTCTTTTATTTGTTGTTCTATTTCAGTTCTCAGACGCTCAATCTCTGAGGGATCCTTGCTAAAGGAACCTAGATCGCCCCGCTTCCCGTCAGACAGCACCATCCACCGCCTTATACTTGCATCAACCTTTGAACTAAGCAACACCCTTGTTTCCTCCCCTTGTCCCAATTCCCCTCTAACTCTAAAGAAACAACTGACCAAGGAGGGTGGATCTCTGAACCAAATGCTGCTGCTGCTCAACGGCTCTAAGGTAGGGACCAGAACCAGGAATTGGCCAACTTCACAATCCAACAGCTGACATGCTGCAAATGATGAGTTCAAGACAAACCAGTAGGACCGAAGCAGACCGATAATGATCACTGTGTAGATTTTTAGAGACAAGAATACACAAGGCCTGGCGGAGAGGGACCCGTGCAGATTTACTCAGCCTACAGGGCGACAGTCACATAAGATGCAGGAGTTTGTCCTGCAACTGGAGGGTCACCAGTTCAACCCCTAGTACTGTTTTTCTTTTGAGAAAAATGGATGCAGGCTTCAAGGGTTAAACAACTTATGTTCTCCTCTGACCTCAGTCTTCTGACTGTCAAATGACCCAGTGGACCTCTGTGAGAAGCACCGCCAAAGCTGTCTGTGGAGCTTCTTAGGCCTCTGGCTGCTGTTTAAGTGGTCTGAGACTAATCAGATCTCAAATTGGTTACCATGGTGACAGATCCAGACAAGAGGAGAGGCATCTCCATAATATTAAAGACCAGCTTGTCAT